TTTGTGCTTGCGGGGGTTGAGCTTCGGCTATTTCGTCCCGCCTCTCAACCGTCAACAGGTGTACAGGTTCCTGAGCCTATTGGGCTCTGATCATATCTACACTTAAAAATGTGTATGGAGTCTGTCTCCACATCACTTCCTAATGCATTCCATTTATTAACTACTTACACTACACAATTCTTTCTTATGCCTTTATGGCTCATTTGGGCACTCAATTTCCACCTGTGTCCCCTAGTGCGTGTGCCCCTTGTGTTAAACTGTCTTTGTCTGCCCTATCAATTCCTTTGAGAATCTTGCATGTGGTGATCATGTCCCCCCCCCCCCCAACACACCTGTCTTCCAGCGACGTAAGGTTTAATTCCCGTAATCTCTCCTCATAGCTTGTGCCCCTATGTGCACGTCTTCGACTGCTTATATTTACGACGGATAAGATATGACTTGGATCACGTCTCAATCCTTATTAAAATGATGTATTCGTTCCAGAGCCTATTAAGTTGTCATATCTACATTTAAAGCTGTGACTGTAGTTTTCCTCCACCTAAATCTGTGTTTGCCTCCACCACCTTACTTCTATTCAATTCTATTGATTATTCTATAGTCAATAGAATAGACTATTATATAGTCTATTAAATTTGTTGACTATTCTGACATTGACAATTTTTCTGCGAGTCATTTGGGTAATTTGAGTCAGCGTTCTCTTGTTCGTGTAGTATAATAAGTAGTTTGTCAGTTTCCCCATAGTATCTAGTATGTCGTTGTCACGTCCCCCCCCCCCCTTTGTTCCTTCCAGCGACGTGAAGTAGGTTACTTTAGTCTTTCCTCGTAACTCGTGGCTCTCGGCTTTTCAACTAATTTGGTGTGATAACTGTGTGGCTTGCAATGTTGTGTAGTGTGGCTGGAGACGACCCGCAACACAGGCTCTCCTGCAAGTGTTCCACCACTTGCCTAGATGTGGCCACTTGATGTGTTGTCCACATGAGTGTTCCATTTTGGTGCCGCCACCTCAACCCAGCCAGGCCCACAAGCTCTACTTTACCACCGCGCGCGCACCTCTTGTGCCAAATTGGGGCTCGCTTACACATGCCTTCCATTAGGTAGAGTATTATTGTATTACATAATGTTAAATGCATTAAGCCGAGGAAGGTTTGACTAAATATATGGCTAGCCAAAACATTTAACGTTCGGTATATATAATAACTTAGATGAATAAGCACTATCTGATAATGCATATCTTTAAAATGCAATTTACGCACAAAATTGTTTGCTTTCTTGACTAAGTTGATAACTTACATTTGCGTGATTTCGTTTGAATTAATTTTTCCTGTAAAACACCTATATTATTTTGTCCGTTTAGTGCTGAAAAGGATTAATAAATGTTAAAAGTAGAGTACAAACAATGATATAATGAGAGCAGAGGCAGGTGGTGGAGCAGTGCTGCACCGCTGAGCAGACAGCAGCTGTGTGTGTTGCCTGTTATGGTAGCAGGAGTCATGTGGTCAACCGCTGCCCCTCTCCACTTAAATACTGTTGGGGTTGGCAAGGGTGGCCAAATAAATAAGGGCGAGAGGGGGAGGGAAGACCTTGGTCATTGAAAAGTGCGCGCGCGTGGGGTATACTATGCTATTTGTGCCTGCAGGATTGAACTGTTACCCCTTGGACCCCGCTTTTCTAACTCTCGGTTGTCACATGTTCTCACTCCCGACCTATTTTCGTCTCATGTCTACTACATAAATTTTTAACACACATCCGCAGGATGCAGCCCCTATCAGCTGTCTTAACTACCAAGTACCTATTTATTGCTAGGTGAAGAGGGGCATCGGGTAAAAGAAATTGTGTGGTCACCTAGTTGTGCTTGCGGGGTTTGAGCTTCGGCTGTCAATCCCTCTCAACTGTCAGTCGAAGGGTGTACAGGCTTCTGAGCCTATTGGGCTGTATCATATCTACATTTGAAACTGGATGGAGTCAGCCTCCACCACATCACTGCCTAATGTATTCAATTTAACTAATCTTACACTGAAAAACAAATTTCTAATGCCTCTGTAACTCATTTGAGTACTAGGTTTTCACCTGTCCTCTTCCCCCTTGTTCGTGTTCCACCCTTGCTAAATATTGTCTTTGTCCATCCTGTCAATTCCTCTAAGAATTTTGTAGTTGGTGATCATGTCTCCGCTAACCCTTCTGTCTTTCAGGGACGTACCTGATGGCATATAAGGCATATCAGATATATCATATATCTGATGGCATACCTCTGAATCTGCTCCTCAATAACTTTGTCTTGTGTTTAACTAGGTATGGACTCCAGGCTGGAGATGCATATATAAGATTATAAGAATCAAGGAAACCGCAGAAGGCCTGTTGGGCAATAAGGAGCAGCTCCTCTAACCCAGGGAGTTCTGACGTAAAAGGTTCTGAATGGTTCCTTACACAATTTTCTAAAGGCCGTTCTTATGCTGACCAATCTAGCATACGCCTCTGATGATATCCTTTCGATGTTGGATTCTGGGAACAGGTTCGGTGTGATATCAACCCCAACATTGGTAGTCGAACCTGGCCCCAGGGCGGGCTCGGGGAGTAGAACTCTCGAGAACCCTCTCCAAGCATTCTCTAGGTAGATCTCTGCTTGACTCTTGAAGGATTTCGCCTACCAGAACTCCCCTTCCCCCTACATGTGTAGGGGAGTTATGGGGAGGGTGTGGGGCCGGGAGGGATGTTTTTGTTTGTTGGAGGAGGTTGGTAATGTTGTTATAGTGATATTGATGGTTTATGTGGAGAGGTTGGAGTGTTAAGAGTTGGCTGCTACAGTAGGTGGGGTGGAGGGAAGGTTTGCGGCGAGAAGAGCTAATACTCGGCGTCCTCAACCTCTGGAGGGACATGATACACCGTTATTTGGGAGGTGTCACCAGGCATAAAGTATAACATGCCTAGTTGCGTCACGTGTCAGTTACACTTTACTGGGATCATCTCTGCTATTACTGTGTGCCTCAGTGTAAGGTGTGAGTGTTGGTGTGGAGATATGTTAGCCTAGAGACAAGTGTTGGCGAGTGCCTGCGCAGCGCCAGCTTGACGCGGTGGTGGTGCGCAATCATCGGTGGACAGCTTCTGGGCGCCGTCTTGCTTATCGTTACGTAACCCTTGTATTTTGAAATTTTCAAATATGTTTATAGAACAGGCATTGTTCCATAAGCAGTGTGTAATAAATTCGACATCGCTGTCGAATTGATTACGTTCTCATCCCTTCCTCCCTCTCTCCTCCCAACGCCATCCACCCTTTATTTTAACTAGCATGGAACCTGCACATACGTGCGGATGTACTCTAAACTATATGAATGAAGTGCTAGCTTAGTGCTAGCTTGTCAACAGCTAGCTGTGGCACTATACATTGCATACCACAATTTGCACATTGCATACTACAATTTGCACATTGCATACCACAATTTGCACATTGCATACTACAATTTGCACATTGCATACTACAATTTGCACATTGCATACTACAATTTGCACATTGCATACTACAATTTGCACATTGCATACTACAATTTGCACATTGCATACCACAATTTGCACATTGCATACCACAATTTGCACATTACATACCACAATTTGCACATTACATACTACAATTTGCACATTACATACTACAATTTGCACATTGCATACTACAATTTGCACATTGCATACCACAATTTGCACATTGCATACTACAATTTGCACATTGCATACCACAATTTGCACATTGCATACCACGATTTGTTATACAGTGTGTGCAGTAGTTTTGATAGCAGCTCGTGCACACATTGGAGGGATTCTGAGCACATCTTCAAGACTACAAGGGATAAAGCTCTAGGCATCTCATGCCGCATACTTTAGTGTACTGACTGAACATTCAATAATGTAATGTTGATGAGTATTAAACGTTCATATTCAGTTTATACACGAGCTGCTGCTTTTCATTGTTGTTTAGGGAGGTGCGAGAGCGCGCGCACGACCATCCACCCTGTTTGGTTCACATTAATTAGCCCCTTACTGCTATTGTCTTAGCATGAAGACCGTAGAAGCTGGGCAAAACACAGGTGAATCTATTTGGTCTATAGTGCATATATGTACAATTTGATACGAGTTGGGCTGGGGAGCTGGTCAGGTGATATAAACGTTAATAACAGGTTATTATTGTGGCAGGTAGTTGGCGGGCATGTGTTAGGGGTCGACAGCTTGTCGTCTTGAATGATTCATTGTTTAGTTGGTGTCACAACTGATAGGTCTCTATAAGGGTATCTGTGTGTGTTTTCAATTCGTACATTTTTCTTACTTTATATAATTTAAAAATTTACGGCAACATGTAAGGTTAATAAACTGTTTTTCTAGGCGCTCCACCAGTAGATGATGGCAGTGGTGCTTTTTGTAATTTCCTGCTCCACTATAGCATCTTCCCCCCCCACCCCCCCACCCAGCTGAGCACACTGAATATGCCCGCATCAGACGCTGCAAAATTTGCAGATATCACACTGGAAAGCAAGCACCACGACTTTAATACTCCAGAATTAGGCTTGAAACTGAAACAAATCGAAAATTGTTTCATCAATGGCCAAACGCAAGACCTTGATTCTCTACTTGACATTGTTGTATCGCGTGTCGGGTGTTACCAAGTAACAAGCAGTGTGTTGACGTACAGGTGGTAGTCGGCACCAATGTTTGAAATATGAGATGACTTCAGCATACTTTATAAGCTTGGCAGTCTCGTGGATTTGTTGGCTCCAGCCTCCAGGTATATTCTTAAGCATTGATTATACAAGAGGTGGTGTTCCAAGAGTGAGGGGTAATGCTCATATTAGAAATGTATTGATAGACGTAGTTCTTTCCTGGTAGATGACGACGTCGAGACTTGATATGGCTTCTCGACCACCAGATAAATCATTTATCTTTCAATCTCCTTTTTAGATTTTGCCGATTTATTATATTATAAAAAGTGGACATTATTATATTATTTCATTCTGTTTCAGGTAAGGTCACGAAATGTCGGAGGCGGACTACGTGGGGTGAGTATCAGTCACCTGTTTTGGTTAATGATGTAAGTGGGAAATACCAGTGTGTGTGTGTGTGCTGCCACGACTTGTTTCCTGGTTTTCATTAGTGTGGCGAGAAGGGTCCACCAGAGCATGGGAAGACAGGTGTCGCGCTGCTTGTTCTCGCCCGTCAGTCACATTGTTACATTACCCTGTGTGTCTTAACCTAATTATGCGTACAAGTATAAACAATCCTCTTAACTAAGCTAAAACTGTGTGAGAGTCTGAACAGTCCCTTTAAATTTGCCTCATATTGTGCCTAAGAGTGAAGAATCCCCTTAACTACGTATTCTTATTTTCTCATTGCATCTAGTTAAAGCCGAGAGAAGACGTTGCTACTTAGTGCTGCTCCCGCGATACAGTCAACGTTTAAGTCTTTGGGAAGCAAAGGTTGCATGGAGGATGTCCATGGGAAATTTTCCGATGTTAAAAATAGGTACTGGATAATAAAAAAAATTATTGGTTTGCTTATTGTCAACTTTGATGCGATTATTTAAAACTCTTGGGGTCGATGCTTCATCCAGGAACCCAGTATCTAAGAACCTGATTCCATTTTTTGATTGATGTGACGCCTTCAAAGATATCTTATGTGTTGGAATCTTGGTCTTCAAATACTCTTAACATTCTAGATAACGTGGCGGTAGTATGTTGTTGTTAAAGATTTAGCTACTCAGGACGAAGTGTCCATGTAGCACGGGCTATGGTGAGCCCGTAATTGAGTTTGGTTATACATGATAACCTTTTTCCTTGGCGGTAGTAACGGGGAAGACTTCTTGTAGGTGTGACGAGTGGTGTGAGGTAAGGTGGTGGAAGCAGCAGCAGGAGGAGCGCCAAGCAGCAGGGGGAGGGGGAGACAGACCTTGGGGAGCAGGTTGGTTGTGCTGGAGGGCGTGTGTGGTTAAACCTAACACCAGCGTCAGACACCACTCCTCCGCGATGAGTATAACATCATAAGCCATGGTGTTGGTAATGACCACCACCAACAAGTGTTAATGAGTTTTGTTGGAAAAATTGTTCCGTGATTGATGAGATAGTTAAGGCACCGCCTGGTGTCAAACTTTGGTTGTTGCTCTCCCTTAATACTGTTTGGTGCCGCTTGTGGCAGCCTCCGCGAAGTATACTACCATGTAGTTACCTTGTAATGGTTCCCAGGATAAATATCCCTACGGCCTGGTCTCTGACCAGCCCTCCTGGTTGGTGATCTGGTCAACCTAGCTGTTGGCTGTGGCTGCGAGCAGCCTGACGTATGAATCACAGCCTGATTTATCAGGCATCCTTTGGAGGTGTTTGTCGACTTCTCGTGTGAACACTGACAGGTCGGCGAGTTATACCACTTATGTGTAAAGGGGGAGTATTGAAAACTTTTTGGCCTTTAATGTTGATAGTTCTCTGTGAGTACCTATTGCATCTATGCTTTTCAACAGTGCTACTCTGCGCATCCTGCCATCTGGTCTCATGTGTGCAGATTTAGAACTAGTCCCTCTAACATTTTCTATGTGTAGATTATTATGTATCCATAGCAATGCATAATTATTATTATGCACTCTAGAATACAGATTTAAGATTTTAATTGGTTCAAGATGATTTATTGAGTGGATTCTAGTAGTAAAGGATCTTTGTACGTTCTCCAGGTTTGAATGGGGCTGTTTCTGTGCAACAATATTCCACCTTAAAGAGAGCACTAGTGTCTTGAAAAGTATCATCATTGTTGTGGCGTCTGTTATTTGAAAGGTTCTTGTTATCCAACCTGTCATTTTTCGCAGTTGTGACAGCTACTTTGGGTTCTTAAAAGTAAGGGCTTCCGACATGATTACTCCCAGATCTTGTACAGTGATCCTTCGTTCTATATTGTGATTTGACTGCGTTTCATATGTGGTTTCCATTTCTATATATTCGTTTATCCATAGTACATGAGCTGAAACTTTTCATTAAACATTATTTTCTGTGGCTAATTGAAAGACCTGATGTATATTTACATGAGTTTGGAGATTTGCTGTGTCTTCTATATTGTCTACTCTCATTAAAACTCCTAGTGTCACCTGCAAAGGATGATACGGTACTATGGGTTGTGTCCTTGTCTGTGTCTAATATGAGGAAGAGAAAGAGTACTGGAGCAAGCACAGTACCCTGGGGGACTGAGCTTTTCACGGTGGATGATCTGGATTTTACTTTGTTGACTATTACACACTGGGTTCTATTCGTTACGAAATTGAAGATCCATCTTCCTATTTTTCCAGTATGTAAATCTGTTTGTGGGCATTTCGTGTACAATAACACAACGGTCACATTGTCGAAAGCTTTTGCAAAGTCTGGGTAATACATCAGCGTTTTGCTTGTCTTCCATGGCATCCCAGACCATGTGATAGTGTTCCAGCAATTGTGTGAGGCAGGAGCGCCCTGTTTTGAACCCATGTTGACAAAGGTTATGTGGAAGCTGTGATTCCATGTGTTTTTTTTACTTACAGCTTTGCGCAACAGGGAGCCGGTCGGCCGAGCGGACAGCACACTGGATTTGTGATCCTGTGGTCCCGGGTTCGATCCCGGGCGCCGGCGAGAAACAATGGGCAGAGTTTCTTTCACCCTATGCCCCTGTTACCTAGCAGTAAAATAGGTACCTGGGTGTTAGTCAGCTGTCACGGGCTGTTTCCTGGGGGTGGAGGCCTGGTCGAGGACCGGGCCGCGGGGACACTAAAGCCCCGAAATCATCTCAAGATAACATCATAATGCGGCCTCGTGCCCTGTGGTATGCTAGTAGAGGAAGTATTCCATCGTTGCTTGCAGTAAACTAAATTTTATATTGAAAAAATGTATATCAAAACCCAGGTAAAGCTGCAAAGAATGGTAATGCTTAGTAAGGGCGAGCCACGGGTAAAGCTTACACCGACACCAGGCTTGGGTTTCGTGGGGCAGACATCCGCAAGACTCGGGTGTCACCGGCAAACCTGAACTTGGAACGTGAGTCCTGGTAACGTCGGTGACTCACTGGTGTGGTACACACAGCATGCATGCGCTCTCCCCTTCCTCCATCACCCTCACACCTACCCCTTTCCCATCATATCTCTCTTCCGGCTGGCCTCTGGTTCCCTTATCTATTCTTATATCACTTCTACCCATTCTTCTCTTTACGTTCCCTCTCCTCCATCCCTCTACTTATTCCTCTCCTTTACCCCTCGAGTGTATGGGACAGATTTGTGGGAGTGGTCAGGTGTGTGGGTTTACCAGGAGCTAACCTGGAAAGGGTTATGGAACTTCTACGCCCCAAGCCCGGCCTTGGGCTAGGATTGACTTTTGATAACTTGGTCCAATAGGTTGTTCCTTGAGCAGCCCGCAGGCCCACATATTCACTAAAACCAGATTGGTCCAGCACTTCTTGCAAGAACTTGGTTTAATTTCGCCTGGAAGAAGTCTACCTTTGTTTTAGCAATATTTCTATGCTAGCTGGGAGAATATTGAACAAGCTGTTATGATCATACAGTGCTCTCTGAGTGTATGTAAACGGTTGCCATCTGATACTCGCCTAGTTGTGCATGCAGGGGATGAACTTTTGACTCGTTGGTCCTGCCTCTCAACGATGAATCAGCTGGTGGGCGTGGTCGGGTGTATGGAAGGGGTTGTGGGCGTGGTCGGGTGTATGGGAGGGGTTGTGGGCGTGGTCGGGTGTATGGGAGGGGTCGTGGGCGTGGTCGGGTGTATGAGAGGGGCCGAGAGTGGTCGAGAGCATGGTGGGAGAGGTGAAGAGAAGACTGTCTGGTGTGAGTAGGGTTTAAGACCTCAAAGTACCGTTACTTGGTACTGTTGGTTCCTTCATTCTTGACATCTGCCGGTGAGAGCTACCTTGCAAGTTCTGTATTGATAATAGCGAGATTTTCAGTATAATACTTGAAGGTCTCAGTGGGCTGCAGCACTGGACACTTATTATTTTTGCAGTAAGAATTGCAAACTTATAAAACGTTTTTTAATTATATTATTTTAAAAATGTAAATACCTTTTACGTGTCATCAGGTTTCAGTGTTGAGTTTGTTTACAGTGGATATACACAGTGGATTTGTGGTCGCCAGAACGGTTGAAGAAAATGCCTCCTTATTCGGCAGGTTTCTTTGCGCTAGGAATCTAAGGTTGGTCTGTGACAAGATGCATGGCTTCTACCGTTCCCACGTAGTCATGTAAATGTGGGGTGGGTGTGTGGGGGTGTAGTGATTGGTATAGGGCAGTGTTGCAGGAGGGTGACACCACACAGCCAGACACACACACACACACACACACACACACAGACAGACAGACAGCGCCTCCCACTTTTTACCCAGACTGTTCTTCCCAGCTGGTGGAACATGAAGGTTGCCACACACCTTCAGTCGCTCTCAAATTTCGGTAATATTTATGTCGATGTACTTCAGTTTATGTACATAGTTTCTTATAGGCGTTAGCACATTAAATCATTCAGTATTTATGATGATATTGTGAATATAAATAGTTTTGATCAATGGAGAGTGATAAATTCCTCGTGTGGAACCGGAGGCTTGCTGGCAACTGCTAGTCGTTGGTTCCCGGTGTAGGGCTTGACCAGCCGCGCTGACTCAGTTCCTCGCAGTGCTCATAGTGGGAGGTGTGTGTGCATGCCGTACTGGAAAAAAGCAGATTCGATTTTTATATATTTTTGTTACAAAAAAACAAAAAGTGAAATTATGCCATTTAAGTAATCACTGATTGACTTTAAACATAATTATCGATAAATGCAGTGTAAATTAGATTGTGCAAGAGTTGCAGCAAACTTACCAGTGAACTGATCGAGTATTAGGCGTTACTGTGGGTATAATTGTGTTGAGGGAGTGGACCATGAACCATGTGTGATGTGGTCCTGGCCACGGAAGCTGGCCTCCCGTGTGCTCTAGCTCCTGGCCTCCCGTGTGCTCTAGCTCCTGGCCTCCCGTGTGCTCTAGCTCCTGGCCTCCCGTGTGCTCTAGCTCCTGGCCTCC